AAAACAACAAATAAAATTAAATAAAACAAATATGAAAACAAAACAAAAAAAAAGAAAACAAAACAAAAATAGTACTATTAAACTTGTACTAGATTGTAAAAATTATATAGTACTACTAAATAAACTAGTTTTAACTCTATACTAGCTATTTATATTTATATTTAAGATATAAAAATATTATCAAAACTATCTGTTCTTAAGTAGAGATTTAAGTTTGAAACTTCAATTATATAGTTTAACAAAACTTTTGTAATATATCTATGTTTTTTACTTTCTAAACAAAGTTAACAACTTATCATTTATTCTATAGAGACAAATTAGATAATCTTAATGTAAATACTATAATCTTTTAAGAAATAATAATTATTCTATAGCAAATATATATATATATATGCTTGTTCTTTTTTAGCAGTGATTGCTATTATTTGTTCTTTGATAGAAGTATATTATATTTTACTCTTTTTGATAAAATTTTGAGATATACAAAAAGTGAGATATTGAAGAAGACTTTAGTTAACAGATAGTCTTAAACTTTAATAGAGAATATATTGAAAATTTGCTTGTTGTTTTTCTAAACCAACTATTTTTTCACTTTGATTAGCAGAAGCTATATTTTTATTAAAATTTTTTGTACAAGAACACTACCTTTTTGCTAATTATTTTGTACAAGAATACTTTTAACTTGTTTACTAAATATATAAAAAAGTCTGATAAAGAATAAAAAACTTAGAAAAACTTGATCTCTATAAAAACTATTACTTGTATAGTTGTCTCTTTTACTTTTTTTTAACAAGTTTTTGTTTTTGTTTATCAATCATCAGGAAGTTTTAAAAAGTATTAAAAAGTATTTACTAATATTAATTGTTATTTAACATTACAAACAGTAGAACAACAAACCCTATACAGACTAACAGTATTGAAAAACAATTTTACAACATATTAAACAATATATTTTATTAACTAATGCTATTTAAAAATATATATCATTATGTTAAGCAACTTATTTTATTAACTAATACCATTAAAAATATATATTATTATGTTAAGCAATGTATATTTATTATAAAATATATTTTTTTAATATATTAAGCAATATATAGCAAAGTCTATAACTAATATTGTATATAAAATATATGTAATAATAATTAAGTACTAATCTATTATCTAACATATTGCTAATTAAATTACTTAAATTATTCTTGTGATTTAATATTCTTCATAATTGCTATCACTACTACAATCATTTTTATTATTATTACTACTAGATAATTCATTATAGTTTTCTTGAATCGCTACTTTATATTGCAAGAGAACTTGCAAGACCTTTTTGCAAACCAGTATTCTAAAAAAAAAAAAATGTTTAAATTAAAGATGCAGATATAACTTCGTAGTTTATTATAATTATAATAAATTACAGAAAAAATACAATAATTCACTATAGTTATAACAAGTTATAAAGTTATATCTGCACTTCTAGTTCAAATAAATTAGTAAAATTATTAATAAACAACATATATATATTCTCATTATCTTCAGCATTTAGCTTTTAAATCCATATATTGACGAAATCTACATTAATCTTTTGCAAAAGATATTCTTTATCAAAAATAGTTTCAAGAACTGCTTGTATCCTAACAGTATTAGCTTGAGTATATTCTTCATCAGATACAAAAATATAATTATAATTAATAAAAGAAATGTTTTAAAATTTAGATTATCTGAATCACTAAGATTGTATAAGTTTTTATATGTCTGCTTAGAATTCTTTTTCTATTTTCTCATTTGCTCTTTTATAATCTTTCGCTAAATAGTTTTACTTGATTAATACCAAAGGTGCTTTACAGTTCTTCTTTTACATATTGAATATAATAATCTTTTTTAGCTGAATTGCTACAAGTATATATATATATTAAATAAATTAAATACAATTAATATTTAGAAATTAAATAAGTATTACAAGAGAAAATCTGCAATTTTAAAAATAGATTATTATAAAATTTATAATAAGGGTGCAGACATTTATTAGATAATATTTTAGAGGATGGGGGTAAAGACAAATCTTACTTCAATATAATATTAAAATTTAATTGGTTAATAAAAATATTACTTGAGGGAAGAGGGTAAAGCTCTATAGTAAATAAATATTAGGTAATAAATGTTAGAGCTCTAATCTATTTTTAAAATTGTAAATTTTCTTTTGTGATACTCATAAGTAAAATTGGATGAAAATACTATTTCAGAATAAAGTTTAATATTCTAAAATGAATTAAATAAGATACTCTTGTTATTTAATTTTTGTAATTGTTCTGCGTATTCTTTATCACTTTCTAAAATCTCCTTAAACTGCTTTTTTATTTAGTTATCACTAATTTGTATATGATTATGAAATAATTTATATACTAGTTTTCTGGCTATATTCTATAATATAATATATAATAGATAAATAATATGCATAGTGATATTAATATAAAACAAAAATATATACATTCTTGAAAACAAATATTTACAGGATTTTTTGAAAGTTTTTTTTTTACCTTTTTTTATAGGTGACTGATATTTCTACTCCCCTTTTTTGATATTTCCACACTTCCATATAAATCACTTTTTTTAAAACTTTAATCGAAAGTATCTCGATGACCACATAACCAAATTTAATAAAATTTTTTTTATTAGAATTCTATGAGTCTGTAGAATTCAAATGAAAAAAAATTTATCGAAATTGGTCAAGTGGTTATCGAGATACCTTCAATCAAATTTAGAGAAAATTTTGCTACAACTATTATTTTGATAGATGTTTAGATTTTTTTAAACTTTGGTCGAAGATATCTCGACAACCACCTGACCAAATTCGATAAAAATTTTTTTATTAGAATTCTACGAGTATGTAGAATTTAAATAAAAAAAAATTTATTGAAATTGGTCAAATGGTTACTGAGATACCTTCAATCAAAGTTAGAAAAAATTTTACTGTGACTCTTATTTTAATAGATATTTAGATTTTTTTAAAAAACTTTGATCGACAGTATCTTGACAACTACCTGACAAAATTCAATAAAAATTTTTTTATTAGAATTATATGAGTCTGTAGAATTCAAATAAAAAAAAATTCATTAAATTTGATCAGGTGGTCGTCGAGATACTTTTGATCAAAGGTTTAAAAAAATCTAAATGTCTATCAAAATAATAGCTGTGACAAAATTTTCTCTAACTTTGATTGAAGGTATCTTGGTAACAACCTGGCCAATTTTGATGAATTATTTTTTATTTGATTTATATAGACTCATAGAATTTTAATAAAAAAAAATTTTATTGAATTTTGTCAGGTAGTCATTGAGATATTTTTGATAAAAGTTTTAAAAAAAAGTGATCTGCATGGGTATGAAAATATCTAAAAAGGGGTGTAGAAATATCATTTGCCTTTTTATATTATTATTATTAATTTCAGAGTTTTTTAAAACTTCTTCAAGCTATACTTGTTGTTCCCTAATCAAATATTCAAGCTTGGTATATTCTCTGGAAAGTTGATCAAGTTTTGCAGTTAATTTGTATAATATTTAGAATCTTGTTAATAATATAAGGATTGATAGTTGCTTGAGCTATTAAATAAAAATATAAAGTAATATAGAGTTAAAAAATAAATAATAAATAAAAATAAAATAAAATAAAATAGAAAAAAAGAAGACATTATTTTACAAACTTGAAATTTCAGTAGTAGTGGTTTTTTTAAAAGTAGTAAGTAATAAAGATTTGATAATAACTTAAAGCTAAATTATATAAAATTTATTTGATAAAAGTTTTAAAAAAAAGTAATCTGCATGGGTATGAAAATATCAAAAAAGGGATGTGAAAATATTATTCACCTTTTTATATTATTATTTTAATTTCAGAGTTTTTTAAAACTTCTTCAAGCTACACTTGTTGTTTATTCAAGCTTGATATATTCTCTGGAAAGTTGATCAAGTTTTGCAGAGTTAATTTGCATGATATTTAGAATCTTGTTAATAATATAAGGATTGATAGTTGCTTGAGCTATTAAATAAAAATATAAAGTAATATAGAGTTAAAAAATAAATAAATAAATAAATAAAAATAAAATAAAATAAAATAAAATAGAAAAAAAGAAGACATTATTTTACAAACTTGAAATTTTGGTAGTAGTAGTTTTTTTAGAAATAGTAAGTGATAAAGATTTGATAATAACTTGAGGCTAAATTATATAAAATTTTATTAGATAATTTAATAAATAGTTAAATACTAACAAAAAAAAATATAAATAAAATAACTTACTTTTCTTAAAACAATAACTTGAGGCTAGGTTATATAAAATTATATTAGATAATTTAATAAGTAATAAAATACTAATAATAAGAATGAAACTAACTTACTTTTTTTTTGTTTCTTTTTTTATTTTGTGACAAGCTAGTTGTTGATAAAAGTTGATATGGGTAATGATGATATAGATAATACTAATTTAGAATATGCAGATATGAAAGAAGTCTTTACAAATAAAGCTACTAAAGCCGAAAATATTATGAATGATTTTAAAGTTAGTATAGATAGTGTTGGTTTGGATGAAGTTAATATTCTGTATTTATTGGATATTATATCTTGGTTATCTAATTGTTTGAAATATTTTAAAGTATTGAAATTCAAGGAGATATCTGTATTGGTTCTCTTTCCTTTTTTCTTATATATTGTATTTCTAGTTTTAAATAATAAAAGTTATAAAAAAACTTTTTTATTTATATAAAATTTATCTTTATAAGTAATAAAAACTACATAGTAATATTAGTATTTAAATTGTATGAATTATATGATATGTAATAATAAATATATTAACTAATACACTAAATGATCAAATTGATAATAACATTATTCTACAATAGAGATTCGTTAATACAACTAAAAATTTGTATAAAATTAAATAAATAATTTAAAATTTTACTTACTATAGACAATTACTTCATAATACTATATTTTATTACTAATTAATATATAATATATCTGAATTAATTAATACTATATAATTTTTAGAACTATCTTTATATTACAATAATCTTTGCTATAAAAATATGATAGCATTGTTATCAGCTCTGAAATGTATAAGGGCAGTATCATTTATTATCTAATTTTTTTTTATCAGAAGCTTATCCCCTTCTCTCTTTTATTATATATTTTGATTAGATCTTTATATATAATTTTAAATTTTTTACTTCTTCTTCCTCTAAAAAATTATCTGATTTTTGTTATATTTCTAAGCAATTACAGATATCAAAAATAATGAGTAATATAAAATACAACTAATATATATAAAAAGATATAGATTAATATTTATTTAATTACATATTAATAGAATTATAATTCATAGTATTAAAATTTATCATATTGTATTAGATATACAGTAATAATTTAAATTTATTTTCTAAAAAAGATTAACTATATTGATATTTGTAAATTTATATTAACTATACCTAATCAATAAAAATTCATACCTTTTGCCTACTTTTTCCTCAACATAGTAGTTCATATTTTCATCAACTTTAGTCTAATCAACTTTTGTAATAGTCATTATAATTTGCAATTGTTTTCAAATAAGTTGATTTGTTAAATAATAAAACTTATATCTGTGCATTAAATATTAAGATATAACTTTCTTAAAATATTTTATACTATTAAACTAGTATTTTTTTTTGCCTAATAAAAACTAGTACTATGATTACATTAGTTTTATAATAATTGATATATAATAATATATATTAAATTAAAATCATAATTAAAATCATATTTAACTCTAAGTTATTACAAATATTACATACAGATATCTTTTTTAAAACAATGAAGTTTCAATATACAAAGTGTGAAAGGACTTTTTTTATAGAGCTTTACTTCGAAACTATATAAATATTCATAATAATATCATTAAAAAACTTCTACAAAAAATAGCCAAAGAAATAGAAAGAGAGCAGAGAATTCAAATAGAACAAGAATACTAGCAAAATAAAGACTAGCTAGCAATAGAAATAGAAAATAAACAACTTGGAGATGACAAAATAAGAATAGATAGTAAAGGTGTTGGAAATAACAAAAGTGTTGAAAACAACGAAAGTGTTGGAAATAACAAAGATATTGGAGATAACAAAGATGTTAGAAATAACAAAGGTATTAAAAACAACAAAGGTGTTAGAAATAATGAAGGTGTTAAAGACAATGATAAAACAAGAATAGATAATCAACTTGGTGATGAAAATAACTATAATTACTAGATAGAAGACCAACAAGAAAGCCAGCTCAAAGATTAATTAACAAGTAAGATGAAAGAATCAAGTAGTCAAATCTTGGTAAATATATAAAGACAGTAAAGTTAAATAATCAATTGTTTATATAACTTCATATATATAACAAATAATCTTTATTTGCAATTAATTAATAATTCACCACTCAACTAGAGAGAGCTTATAGTATAATATGATATGGTTTATATATAGAAATTAGGATTTTTGGAATATGAGCT